CTTATTATGCGTTATATAAAGTATGGTAAGAATTAAATAAAGATTGATGAAAATATTAAAGATTGAAGTTGAGGGGTATTTATGGCGGTTAGCGATTTTTGGGGTGCTGAGAAGTTGGGGGTGCCGAGAAGTGGGTGTCGGACGTTAGGGTGATCACCTAAGTGCGTGAGGTAATTACAATTTGTTAGCAAGACCAACTGATGACTAAGCGTTTCCTCCTATACTCCACTAATCATTTTCTTATCTTATCGTCACATAACTTATACTATAGTTCTTCTATTCCAAGTAAGTCCCTGTTATTCCCATAATCCTGCAGTACAAATATCCTATCCTAGCCGCCCAACATCCAAGTGGGTTAGTTATCTATTATCCTTATTCTCAGGTCGTAACATAGAGATATTATATTATTATTTTTAGCTATAAAGGTATAACTAAGTTATTATTAAATATATAGTAAATTAATTTTTTTAGACGTTTAATATTACTAGTAGTAAAAACTATATCGATTAAGTAGGGAGTATTTATAAGATTTATTTTAGGGAGCTTTAAATTTAGGTTATAATATAATAAAGGGCTATTTCTATTTAGCTAGATAGCTTAAAAATCCCTTTTATATACCTTATAGGTTAGCTATAGAGGTTATATTATAACCTTCTATATATTTCCCTATTAGAGTTACACAGTAGTTAATAAAGTGCGCCTCTAGGTAGTAAACTGCGAAGAAGAAAAGTTAGAAGGGAAGAAAGACTTGTCTACATAAAGCTTGCATATGGAGCCAGCCGCTAGCTGACAGTCATCATCGGAACTTCAGATGCTAATGAAGGTAATTGTATATAAATGGAGCCATGATCTGGGTTGTTCTGAGATTCGACTGCCACTTTTCTTCAAACACAGGCTCTTGCAACTTGGTCTCTGAAATCTATTTCCTCCATACCTACTAAACATTTCCAACGACGCAACTTCATCAAAATGTCCAAAAACGGCGAAGATTACAAGGATGTCTCCTCAAAGGGGATGATGGCGTGCGCTGCTCCGTCTCTCTTCCAGCCTCACAAAGCTCGTCAAGCCATCCGAGATGCCCACGATAAGAAGATTCCACCCATTATCTGCTATTATGCAGGACTCAGTTCCGTCCCAATCACGCGTTATGTCGCGCCCATGGGATTCGACGCTTGCTGGATTGACTGGGAGGATACATCTTGTAACGTGGAGAACATGACTACTGTAAATTAAGTGTCTACACCTATAACTACTGTAAGGAGTTCAACTGACATGACTAGATAATTCATGAGACCGATTTTATGAGTGGCGGTCGGACAATTTCATTCGTTCGGTAAGTTTAACGCCCCAAAATCAATGGTACTGCCTCTCATCCGGATTTTGTAGTGTCCCTGGTTATGATCACGGCGCAATAGGTCATGCACTTGATTGTGGTGCGAGTCTCGTAATCCCACAAGTCGAAAGCGTCGAGCAGGCAAAACACGTCATTTCGGCTGCAAAGTTTGGAACGAACCAGAACGGGACCCGGTCCTTGCCTCCCTTCCGTCTTGTTCCTGGGTTCACCGATGCCCCGTATGACACTTCGCGCGACCTGCACAAGTGCCTCAACGACCAGGCTGCCATTATGATCCAAATTGAATCAGCTGAGGGGGTTCGCAATCTCGACGCGATTCTCACAGAATGTCCCGATATTGATATCGTATGGTTTGGGACACTTGATGCATGGGTCAGCATGAATCTTGAAGCTAAGTGGGGTGGCATCGGTGCCACAGAGCCCGAATGGTTGGAGATATCCCAACTGTTCTTCAACACGATTGACAAGCATGACACACCGTACGCCGGCTTTGCGTTTGACTCTGCTCCCCTCGGGAGCCCCGAAAAGCTGAAGGCGGCTGGGGAGCGTATGAGCCTCATCATGGTTGCTGCCGACGTGGTCCATCTAGGTGGTCTTGCACAAGATCTCCAGCAGGCAAGGACACTGGTCGGATATGAAGGCAAGATGGGAGAAAGCAAGAATGTCAATGGATGGAGGGACAGTAAACTTTAGTCGACTGGTGCAAAGGTTGGCTGGGTGAGGTTCACTGTGACGCCAGTGCGTTTACCACAATTTGAACGTGTTTTCGAAAGGTGCTATTTGGCCAAGAAAGATCAATCTCTTCTCGGCGGAAAACGTTGACATGACTTGCAAGGCATCCTGCGACTAGTCAAATTGCCCCATTTCATTGCCACGTAGTTAATTTACGTGGAGCAGCTGAATATGCGGTCAAGATGTAGTCTGCGGCGCGACTGAGTCTCGACTGGGGTAGTAATGTGAGGCTTTCTGCAACAACTCGAGATGCATCGCATAGTTCAATGTATTGAGGCTCCGACCCTGAGTCTCGTGATGATTCAAAATCGCGTGTGATGACGACCATTAGAAACGCAATACCGACTTCATCGCAGACGGGCATCAATAATTGCACCGTCGCTGGGTACCTCAATTACAGCGCCGCCGATCATCCGACCGTCCGCGACAAGATTCTGTAAGCCCTGCTAAGCCACGAAGGAATGGTGCCGTCGGGGGTTATCCAGGCTGCGCCCAATGGCGTTGTCGCTCGAGTCGGGTTCGGGCAGACTTATGGCAGTGAAAACCAACCAACACCTTTTTTGGGACTTTGGTAAACGCGACCGCGAGAAGCGAGGGCGGCGACCGGATGAACACTGATGAAGCACTGGGGTTGGAAGGTCCTCAACATGCGCTTTCAAAGAGATATAAATGCGGAAAAATTCTTAGCATTTGACTACACTTTGGTTTCATTGCCTTCTTCATCTAGAGAACCCAGGAAGGTATTTGATTTTCAGAACTACTTTAAACGCTACCAATACTTGAACGCCGCACAAACCACCACCATGGTTCGCCTCTTCACTGCCATCATCATCGGATCCCAGCTTCTCGGCCATGTAATCGGCCACGCTCTGCCTCAATTTCATGCCCGGTCGACAAACGGGACGATCCAATACCCTTATCCGGAACTCGGGACTGATGATCCCGCGGACTATGCTACGGCTGGCTATTTCATCAACCACCTTTGCATCAACGTCAAAAACCTCACTGCCAGCGTCGATTTCTACTCAAACGTCTTCGGTCTTCGCAAGATCTTCACCTTGCACGTCACCAAGCACTACTCTATCACGTACATGGGACATAGCCACGGCGGAAAGAACGGAACCGGTTATCAGACCACTCTGGAGCTAAACCGCGAGAAGAACAACGCCGAAGGCTTGATCGAGCTAATCTATCTCGACGTCCCTGTCAACAACATCGAGGCCGGTATCGAGCGACCCAACACATTTGCGCATATCGGTATGGTCGTTCCAGACATTAAGGCTATGCAAAGCCGATTGGATGACCTCCCCGATGTGAATGTCATGAAAAAATACGGAGAGTCGCTCCCTATGGGAGGCAAGGTGTCTGGTGCCACTGGTCTGCCTGCCGAAGTTCTTGACCAGCTGAGCTCCGCCGAGAAGAAGCAGATCGAGGCAGCTTTGGCTCCGAACACTGAGCCTCTGATCTTTGTGGCTGATCCCGATGGCAATCTAATTGAAATCCAGCCCCAAGAAGGTGCTGCTCTGGCTTGAGTAATATCTGTGCCTTTTCTTGCGGGGTTATTTGGCCTAACTATGAACGCAACTTGGCACAGCGTGACAGAGGGAGGGGGACGTTTTCCCTTTTGCATTGGATGGACATAGGTTTAGAAATAGACAAGTACTTACTTATACCTGCCATTTCAAAGGATGTGCTTCGTAGTCGCATTCGGTTATTTTCTCCAGAACGCGTTCGTGATCTCACGTGTTCTTCAGAATATTTGAATCACTGGGACGGTTTAATTTGCCCGCTTCATAAGGTATCATGCAAACGTTTGCCAAGTAGGACTAAATTATCTGGGCTTGACCTTTGTGACAGCATGACTGTGTACCTTTAAGCACGCGCGGGAGGCTTGCGGTAGCGCCTTCGGCAAATACATAGCCTGGTGTGGTGCAAGAACGAAACGTAATTAGTGAGGATGATGCGCGCTTCTGACACCCCCACGCTTCATAGGTCATTGCAAGAGCCTACCCCGGCGACGTTTTGGCTATTACGTCTTTTCGACATTGATAAACCCTGAAATCTCACAAACACAGAGGCTTGCGTGTCATACTTCGACCCAGCATGTGTAATTACCGAATCTTTCTGTCGAGAGTCAGATAGACGGATGATATCTTGCCAATGCATGGATGATATGTACGATGCCTATCAGGCAATGTCCAGATTTAATTCTCGTGATTAGCCGTCGAGGCGCGGGGCCGCGCGCTTTTAGTTGTCAGCAACACGACACCCTCATGGAGTGCACGCGACATACCAGTCAGACACTATCTCAGCCGCCAATATTCCAACCCAATGCGGCCAACTTTAAACATCCTGTGACTCGATTCAATTGGAATCAACCTGTCTTACAACCTAGATCTTACGATACCACATCATTGTCATAAATTAGGCAGGTCGACGAACGTTCGTCAATTCGGTGCTGTTTATTGCGCTAGAGGACGCTCTCGCAAAGTTGTTATATGATTGTTGCGGCCCGCGCATACCATGCTGCGTTTGTTTCCCCAAGACCTGGTATTTGATTCAATCCTACGACGCATGCTAAGTGAGGGACCTCCTTCCTGTGGCCACTCAACGGAACTTGGTTCAGGCTGAGGTGAGACTTCACACAAACGCATCATCGTTTGTCTTTTTCTTACTTCGCGCATGAAATTCCACAACTGGCTGACACCGAGAAACAGGAATCTGTATTGACGAGACAAACACTGCCTTACCTTCTCTCTTGGTGTAATCCAGGTGACATAAAACTGCGGTCGCCGTGGACCGGTTTACAAAAGTCTTTGTCAGTACACTCAAAGTGATCGATTTCTCATTCTTTTCATCTCCTGACCTGTGCAGGTCCGGTTTCATACCGTCTTGAGGGTTCCTTCTATCCCTCATGGCGCCCCCAACCGCTTGGGACTGTACGGTCAACGATCGACTTCAGTTTATCGTCGACAGCTTAGACCAGTCCATCAAGTTCAGTGCCAAGGATGTACCTGGTCTGAAAGATCTGCTTGCTGATTACGTCAATCCGGATGTTGAGGTCGATCATGTGCACTTCATCCAAAGACTATTGAGAGTCTTCAAAGACTCCGAGACTGACGGTACCTACTCATCGATTTTACACAAGCATACTGATGATGAACAAAACCTCATCGAAAGGTTCTTGGAAGGCGGGGAGTCGGGTGACCCGAAGATCCTGGGCAAGCAATACAATATGGGCTCAAGCCTAGGATGTCGAGAAGAGCTAGAGCACCTCTGCCAAGCGGCTTGCATTCTTCAAATTGGGGCACAAGGCATAACAAAGCTCAAAGAGCAGCACATGGAACACTTGGCCGACTCTTCTGTTGTCCAAATCCTACAATCTCTACTTGCCGACATGAGAGCCTTCACCCAACTTCATCAGGATGAGCTTGAAGGAGCAGGCATTCTGGTGCGTAAATGGCTTGCCTGAGGCTAGGGAAGAGGTCAACTGGCTAACCAATAGGCAGGTGTACTATGACACAAAGTTTCAGAACTGGGGACTGACAGTAGAGAACACTCCGTACCTAACATGTGTTCCCAAGTCTGTCAAGGAGGTTCAATTGATCGTTAAGTTTGCAAAAGAGCAGAACATGGGCGTGCGTTGTGCAGGATTTCGTCAGTTCCAGTCTCATTGCAAAAAGTTGTATTTTGTACTAACTGCAAAATTAGGTCATTCCTGGTCCCCTGTATTCGGCAGAGGCGGAAAGAACATCCTGATTTCTCTTCTCGGCCTAAAGGAAGCTACGAAGCTTCCCAATACTACTGCTCTCCCGTTCTGGCCCTTCAGACAGGACGAGCCGACGGAATTGGAAGATATTGAGTTGATTTCCGCCAAGCCGAACGAGGAAGGAAACTACCTAGTCAAGGTCGGTGCAGCTTGCACCAATGAGAGGCTTCGCCAGTGGTGTATTGAGAACAGACGAGTCACCCTGCCGATGAACGTTATTATGGTAGAGATCACCATGGGCGGATCCAATGCCCCAATTTGCCACGGTGCCGGTCGACGACACAAAACATTGAGCGACATTGTCCGGCGCATCGACTATGTGGATGCCAACGGCGAGGCAAGGTCTGTCACTAAGCCTGAACATCTTCGTGCTGCCAGTGGTGCATTCGGGCTGATGGGGGTTGTCACGCACATCACATTCGAGATGCCCCCAATGACCTACGCCCAGTTGAACCCCAAGACAGTGCCTGTGACTTATGCCATCCCTCCTCCTCCCGACTTGGACGAGAAGCTCATCCCACCAGTGCTTTTGTTGCCTTGGAAGGCGTTGAGCACAAAGGAGAAACGAGAGCGCCAACTTGAGTTTGAACGCCAGGCTACGAATGATTACTATTCCGAATGGTTCTGGTTTCCATATTCTCAAAAAGTATGGGTCAACTGCTGGAATGTCACCACCGACAGCAGCGATGTCGTAGAGTTCCCAGACAACGGGCAGATATTTTTCTCCTTCGTACAATCTGTTATGATGAACATTCTACAGAATGCGGACTTCCTGAAGAAGTTGATTGATCTGACTGGCATTCGGGAGTCTGTCGTAACACTCATTTCTCTGGCGGGAACCAACGCTCTTCCGACCAAAAGGGTCACTACCTACGTCCCAGACGCCTTGCACTTCCAAAGAGCTATACAGAATGTCCGCGTCAGAGACATGGAGGTTGAGATCCCTCTCGTTTCAAAGAAGCACACTGGATCGACCAGAGAGGGTCGCGTTGACATTGACTATGCTACGGTCCAGCGTGCTTGGTGGGACGCAATCCTCCTGGCATATGCCAATATCAAGGATTGCCCTATGAGCATGCCTCTGGAGATGAGAATCATGGGAGGCAGTGATATCATCATGGCTCCTCAGCGACACAATCAGCTGGGAACATGTGCCATCGAAATACTTACTTTGCAAGCGACACCCGTTGACAAGTGGGTTGGCTTCGCGCAACAAGTGCTCGACAAGTGGATGAGCTTGAAAGACCCACGAACTCAAAAGCCGCTGCGTGTTCGTCCTCACTGGGCCAAAGAATGGGAAAAATTCCAAGTCAATGGCAAACCCTGGTTGGAGAAGCTAATGAAAGAAGACTACAAGGCAGAGATTGAAGAGTTCCGTAAAATTCTTGCCGAGATTGGGAGCGAGGCTGGTTGGGGTCTGAAAGATCTGCAAGGTCGATTTTCGAACGAACTCTTCGACACTCTCATTTTCGACAAGGTCCAAGCAAAGAGATCCAATCGCCTTGCCAAGATCTTGGGGGGCTTACATCTCAACCGATACATTTCGTTGCTCCAGAGGTTGCTAGGAATATCATCTAAGTAGAGCCTCGAGCTGACAAATTTGTTTGGGGAGCTAATTGAGTGCTCATAGAAGCGGGAGCCTCCAAGATTACCTCGTACACACTGTTCGTTTCACGTCAATCCTTACATAGTTTAGACTTCATCAATGACATTACATTCGCTTTTGGTCTCTTTAAGGCAGAAGATTTAGCTTTGGGCATTGGGATGGTTTCACTCTCAGTAACAGGTATTTGGAGGCGGATGACGACATCGACGCTTAAATAAAGCCTTCTGAGCCGGCCCATCCGTCATGGCCGGCACGATCAACTGAAAGTCATCAATACTGCCGAGTTGTGATGATAGTTTATCCAGAGGGCGCCTGGTGATGTCTTGCAGGTGGCATTTGCCATCATCCCCGCATTAAACAAGCTAAAATGCAACCCCGCATTGGAGAATCCGGGGTCTGGGGGAAAAGCCGACGTTGATGACCACCTCGTAGACCCAATGTAGCTACGAATGCGGGGAACGTAATCAAAGGATGATTCTTGACATGGGTTTCTCTTAAATATTCTACCGGTTTGGTTGCTTCTTGCCCAGATGGATTGGAAATCGCCTCAGTACCATTGCACAACCTAGTAATCCTCCTGTTGCCATCCCTCGGCTGGACCAGCATAAGTGGGCTTGTCTGGGTTGATAAAATGGCACAAATGCTTCGCACTCAGATGGGACGCTCTCTTGCCCTTTTCCCTCTCAGGTGCCGCTTGTCAGACACGAGACCTCCTGTTTCCGGGAATTTTCTTCACCATGCAGTCTGTCGTTCTATTGGCCTACGGGGTCCTTTCTCTGGCCGTGGGCGCCAGGGGGGTCCCAAACCAATCTCAACAGCAAAAGCCGAGCTCCCTGACGATCCACACCACTGCTGGGAGCGTAACAGGGCTCATCAATGAAACAACTCCAGACGTTCGGCAGTGGCTCGGCGTTCCTTACGCTGAGCCGCCAGTTGGATCTCTTCGGTTCTTGCCGCCTCAACCCAAGACACCGTTTGGAAACTTGACAACAACTTCGTACCAGCCATCCTGCATGCAGCAGTTCAGCAACGCCAGCTCAGCTTACACCGACTATGTCCCGGAGTTTCTCATCAACGGCGGACAATCCGAAGACTGCCTTTATATCAACATATACGCCCCACTAAACCCGATAGGCGAAAGGCTCCCGGTATTTATCTACATTCCAGGCGGTGGCTTCACCGGCGGAGGGGCCGACTCGCTGTACAAGATCCCAGATCAATGGATCCAGAAAACCCAAGGCCATATCTTTGTCATCATGAACTATCGCGTCAACATCTTCGGCTTTCCGAACGCAAAATCTGCTCCTCAGAATGCTGGACTCCTTGACCAAAGACTCGTCGTCGAGTGGGCAAGGGATAACATCGCCGCTTTTGGCGGCGACCCAGACAAGATTACTCTGTGGGGTCAGTCAGCCGGCGGCATGTCAGTAGGCATGTATGGATATGCCTGGTTCGAAGATCCCATTGTCTCGGGATTGATTGCAGACTCCGGCGCTGCGTCAACTTTGACTGTTAGCGATCCTGAGCACACGGCCTTCACGAAATTTGCTGGATCTTTCGGATGCTCGAGCTTGACCGCGGACATGGAGCTTCAATGCATGCAGAATCTCGACGCGAAAGTGATCCAGGACACCCTCAGTTTTGGTGGCACAGGTCTAGGGTTTCGTCCAGTGGTTGATAACATGACAGCCTTTGCCAACTCATCACAGCGCCTCTTCGAAGGAAGGTTCGCAGACGTGGTATGATATCCCCTTGCCTTAACAAGTACTATGTGACTCATAATTCAAAGCCATACATGACCGGATCGAACGCCAACGAAGGGGCGTCCCTGGGATCGTACGACCCTAACGGCATGCTCCCGGGCCAGTATGAGAATGGCCTGAAGTCTATCAACTGTCCAGTATCCCAAGAAGTCGCGTATGGCTCTCCATAGACTGTACATGGGCATTTCGCTAATCCCAAGCTCAGCAACCGCGACCTAGCCGGCCTCATAACTTACTACTACGAATACGCTGGAAACTTTAGCAACATCTCCCCTGTACCTTGGCTGGGAGCAATGCACAGTGGTAAGCTCTCTTTCCATTCGACTATTCGCCCGGAAGCCAGCTAACTATATGCCCATCTAGCTGAACTGCCCATTATCTTTGGAACCCACTTCTTGTATCGCGGAAATTCGACGGAGTTTGAGTGGCAAGTCGCGGGGGCAATGCAAGGTTAGTGGATTAATTGCGGTGCTCAGAATTGGCCCACTAACCTTTCATCAAGATTTGTGGCTTTCCTTCGCAACAGATCCATCGAAAGACCCAACAGATGGGAACGGCTTCAGGTGGCCAAAGTACACGGCAACAGAGGAAAGCATGGTGCTGTTTGCAGAAGACGATACGGTGGCTCAGCTGCAGTCCGGATCCATACTCGCGAACCAATGCTCAGCCCTCTCCTGAGAGAGGTCTGACCCTGCTTCCACGCTCCGTTCTTGAAAAAGTCCCCAGCATGGCTCAATTGAAAGCGTAAATGGCTACTTGATCAATCAATATGAGACGTCTGCATGCATTACGATGACAGTGAAATCATATTTGTAGGAAATCCCCTCCGTGAAGTTGCCTAGAAAGCCACCTCAAATCTGAAATCTTCTTGAATTCACCTCTTTTTCTCGCCCCAATGCTACATTGCCTCTGCAATCGCAATCACGGGCTTTCCGATTCTTAAACCAGTACAGCATGGTGAGGCCCATAACCAACACCATTGTTCCCGAGTACAGACCGATGATGCCTAAGAAACCACGTGTATACCTCGGTGCATTGTCGTCTCGAAAGAGCTGTTGTCCGGCGAGACCACCCAAATTAGCTGCCATAACAATGAGAGCTTGGCCAACTGCAAGATCCTTCGGATTCTTGACATTAGAAGCAAGCCATGCACTATTTACTCACTGGAATGTCGCGTTACCCGCCATGAACATGACGAAAACAGCATATTTGCCCCACTTGTCCGTGCTTAGAACCATGGAGTATTGCACGCCGGCAAATACAAGTGCGTAAATCGTGCAGGCCCCACACACCGGACCTCGAAGCTGCACCCAATCTGATATCCGCGCCGCGAAGACCGGGAGTAAGAAGAGAGCGTAATTTGATACCGAAGCTAGCAAGTTGGCGGTGATCTTGTCGAAGCCGAGGTTCTTGATTATTGTAGGTGCATAGAGCAGGAGTTCACCTTTGGGAACAAGGGAGATCAAAGCCACGAGCGAGTGAAGCCATATGTAATAGTTGGTGCAGAGTGCTTGGAGAGCATCTCGCGGGTTGATGGGGGATAGTTCGGCTGATCGACTCGTGTCTTCGAGTGCGATGCGACGAGTCATGATGTCCCGTTCGCGTTGGGTGAAGATATCAAAGGCGGCAATGCCAACCACGGGCCGCGTCCACCTTGGGCTTTTCGGTAGGAGAAACATAAAAAGTAGAGCGACGATGATCGTAAAACATCCGTCGATGACGAACAGCCACTTGTTCGGTTAGTTCGATTCCTGTCATCTCAAACGAACTGGTTGACCTTACCTGCCAATCGTGGAAGCCACCCAGACGGTCCATCTTGAACACGCCCGCCGCAATGAGAGTACTTGTTCCAGCAGCAAGATAATAGGCGGTGTATAGCGCAGTCATTCTCATTGCAACCTCCGTCTTGGTATAAAACATACCGATGACGACCGGAGATCCGGCCAAATACCCAGCTTCGAAGGTTCCCAGCAGAAAACGGGTAGCGAAAAAGGATGCTTGGTTCGTTATGAAAGCTTGGAAGATCGCGACTAGGCCCCACGCAAGACATTCGATAGTCAACCACAAAGGAGCACCAAGTCTGGACAATATCATGTTGGATGGAATTTCGAAAATAACGATGGCGGCAAGTGAAAGCTGGTCCCCGCTGTTGACGATGTTATTTGTGATTTCGATATCATGAATGAAGTCGGTCGTTATAGCGCTGGTGATGTTGGTTTTGTCAAGTTGAAGAGCAAAGAACCCGAGCATGAGTGTGGTGATGAGAACGATGTCCAACCTGTCAATCAAGATGTCAATGCGAGCCGTCAATAGAATCAGTAAATGTGCCATACTTCAACTTTACCTTGCGTTCTTCTGCACTCGGCCAATCCCTGGAGATCTGTTCCTCTTCCATACCGTTGTGTTCCGTAGAGGTGTCAATGTGTTGACTCAAAGTGACCAAAGTTCCCCGAGAAAGTGACGGACTCCGGCGACGAGGTTCCATTAGGGGCAGGTGGAGTAATAAACAATCAAATAATGACCAAAAGTCTTGGTTAAGCCCTGAGTCCAACTATGTAAACATTATCTTACACTGCTCATCGCTCTCCTGGTGAGACGCCATGGCTTTGCATACTCATGCATGTCGCTCAAGCTGATGCTCCTGATTGGGAAGTGGCGGCCCATCCGGCCTGGCTCGCTTGACAACATCCGGGGGAGGTATTGCGTGCGTGTGAAGTATGATTAAGAGACTAATCATATCAAGGGATCTGGTCATGCTGGGCCTAGGTAGAATAACTACGTGACGGCAGGATTCGAGAGGGTCCTCTACAAGGTGGGCCAATTTGGGTCGACTCCATGGAGCATTTTGGCCATAGACCTTCCTCCAAAGCTTAGCCTGGACATGAACTTTACTTTGACAGTTTAGCGGCGATATAGAGAGACACATCACTACAAAACTCGACATCAGATTTCGGTGAATTGGATGCCTTGATCGCAACACCGCCAAAAACAAGATAATGGTACTATGCACGTGTTGAGTATCGATAAATGAAGGAGGTCCCACCGAGTTATATTAGGATGGCGATGTCCCACAGTCCGAGGCGGTTCAGCGTGCTTCTATGCCGACGGAGGCAGATCCCGGCGCCGGCGGACCGAGTACAGCCGGGTACAGCCGGACCCGCAAGAGATGGCCCCACAACGGCCCGTGACAGGATGATCGTCCGGTGCAAGTATTATGGACTACCTTTGAACCTACATACATCTTTCTTGACACTTCGGAATTCACGTATTATTCAGCTTTTTCCCCTCATCATCTCTTCACTCCAGTAACAAGGCTCGACGTTTACGAGGCAAAATCGGGATGAGGTAAGCACAATGGCTGGCACTGGCCACTCTAGTGCAGTCCAAGCGCCCCAACATCCTGTTCATCTTGACCGATGATCAAGACCTGCACATGGAAAGCGTTCAGCACATGCAACACTTGAAGGTACGATTGACCAATGCTGCTGCCAAGCATGGAATCATGCAAGCTGACAAGGTACCGCCAGTTCGATATCGTGGAAAAGGGCACGGCATTCACCCAACACTACTGTACCGTTGCTCTCTGCTGTTCTTCTCGTGCCACTCTCTGGACGGGGAAAGCTGCGCACAACCACAACATCACGAATGTTTCCCCTCCGCATGGTGGCTACCCCAAGGTCGCGGAAACAGGTCTCAACGACGATTACTTGTTCCTGTGGATGCAGGAAGCAGGATACAATACCTACTATTCCGGAAAGCTCTGGAACTTCCACGGCGTGTCTAATTATGACCGGCCATTCGCGAGAGGCTTCAATGCGTCCGACTTTCTACTCGACCCCTACACTTATCGATATTGGGATGCGAAGATGACACATAATGGTGAACCGCCTATAAGCTACGCCGGGAAGTACAATACGGATGTTGTGGCTGACAAAGCCTATGCTCTGTTGGAACAAGCACTCAACCACGATGAGCCTTGGTTTCTCACAGTTGCGCGCATTGCTCCACATTCCAATCCGGTGTTTGATGAGAGAACGAACACAACCTACTTGTCCACGCCACAAAGCGCATATCGCCATGAGCACTTATTCCATGATTACAAGATTCCCCGCGGAAAGTCCTTCAATCAGCAAATAAGCGGTGCGGCGAGCTGGCCCGGGCGTCTTGAAGCGCTCAATGAGAGCGTTCTCGCATACAACGACCATTACCAGCGCCAACGTCTGCGGGCCCTACAAGCTATTGACGAGATGGTTCATGAGCTCGTGGAAAGACTCGAACTTGCCGGCGAGATTGAGAATACCTACATTTTCTACTCGACGGATAATGGATATCACATCAGTCAACATCGAATGCATCCTGGCAAAGAATGCGGTTACGACACTGACATTCACATACCCATGTTTGTTCGTGGACCTGGCCTTGTGCCTGGTGGTGAAGTCGACTCTGCAACCTCGCACACCGACATCGCTCCAACAATTCTCAAGATCGTGGGTGCAGAACGACAGCTTGACGGAGAAGCTATGCCCTGGGCAGGTGAAGTGGCCCAAACCAGGAATGAACATGCCGCCATTGAGTTCTGGGGTTGGGGAGCTCCCGAAGGCCACTATGGATTGCGCAGTGACGAGCACTTTGAGTCTGGCAAGCTAGAAGGTTTGTACCTCAACAACACGTATAAAGGTCTCGGTCTGGTTGGGAAAATTTTTAATCTTTACTATTCGGTGTGGTGCACGGGAGAGCGGGAACTTTTCAATCTGAAGGTAAGTCATCGTCCCATCAATCTTAGACATCCTTTGCTGAACAGGGATACAGGATGACCCCGAGCAAACCATCAACCTGCTTTCCGACACATCTCAGGCTTTGATCCTGGTTGAAAACTTTGAAGTTTCTGGCAGAGGAGCTTCCGAGGTCGTTCATCGCCTTGATGCTGTCATCATGGCTCTCAAAGATTGTGAGGGGCGGCGTTTTTCCCGGCCTTGGTCAGCTTTGCACCCCGACGGAGACATCGTGTCTCTCGAGCAAGCTTTGGATACTAAGTACGACGACTTCTACAAGAGGCAACCTAAAATGTATTTCGGAAGTTGCGAGGCAGCCTTCATCAAGGAGAGAGAAACCAATGAGCCTGTCAACCAATACGGCGGCGACGCTCGGCCTGAGTATGATTATGGTGATGAGTGGATCCTAGCCATTTAGAATGAAGGTTGCCCTATTTTGTACTCATATAAAATCGGTTACGATTCGATAATTCACATCAAGTACTACACTAGACGTCCCCAACGCCAGAATTTGTACCAAAGTGCCACGGGGCTTTCGAAAATTCTGTTCATTCTTCATTGAGTGTCGTCTTGAAACCATGATGCTTCCAGATTTGTAGTCGCTGGTATCAAGGCGTCATCCATAGGTACTTGGGTATTCGTATCTTCAATCCATCCGAGGTCCAGGCATTGCCAGGGATTCAGGTCATCAAAATCGACCTGTCCAAGTGCGTCTTTGGGCGAAAGTGGCGGGCCGAGTAATGTCCCATGCTATGTTGGTCCCATTGATGCTTCCGCGCCGTAGTCCGCGGAGAACTCTGGGGTATCAAATTGTTCAAATTGGTTCATGGCATCTTCAAGGCCAGCAAAGCCTAGATCTGTGGCTTTCGACGTTACGTTTGTATCCCACGATTGCCCCGAGTGGCGTCCGAGAATCATTCGCATATCGCTTCGGTCTCGTTCGTTGAGCTGAAAGACCGCTCGTACCGAGATGGCCGACTCCATCTGTGCCTTCTGGAGAACTACATCCAGATATGCAAGGGTGACCTCTGTTGCAGGATAGAGATCCCTCAGCTTGTCTAGGACTCTCATACAGACCCGAAAGCCTGACACAGCGGCATGCCTCGAGCTTTGGTTTCGGTTCTTCATGTTGATGAGGTGCGTAGAGATTGCGGGACAAAGTATCGTGATTCCCCCAATGAGGAGATACGGATCCAGTTGCCCTTGGTGAAGATCGGCTGCAAGCCGAGTGATGTTGTCTGCACATTCGGACACGATGCGCTTTGATGTCTCTAAAGACTCAACCGGTCTTTGGGAATGAGCTTCTTTTCGCTGCGCGTTGCGTTCATGGTGTAATGTATGTCGAGCAAAGTTGTAAGCCATGTGCAAAAGATGCCGCCGCGATCGAATGGATGTTTGAATGCTGGTGGTCCGCAACCTCATAGGTAGTGGCTGAATCTGACAACAAACTGGTAATTCTCTGACCCAAGCTGAGAAGTCTGCCTCAACTGCCTCCACTGTGTCTTCTAGCGATGAATTCTGCTGACTTCCGGCGCTCTGTTGAAGCTGCAGCGTGCGATGCATGAGCATCGACAGTCTGGTCTTCTCGACGCACAACTCAGCAGACTCCACCATTTCGACATGATCGTACGGCCCTAGTTGGATACGCCCGAATATTGTTCTTTCGGTCTTCAGAGTTTTCAAGTCCATGTTATGTACGCTGAGCATGGAGGTACTATGGTCCTCATCTTTGATTCTGCTTGGCTTGCTCATCCCAAGCGCCAGAATCTTGTCGCAGACGTAGCAGCACCTCCACAGTCGCCGTCGTAACTTGATTTCTGGAGTATCGCATGCTTTCAGAGAGGGTTCCTTGTTCAAGCCAATATCAAGCGCCAGCATGACGGCGGTGTTCATCCAGTGCCATAAGTCTTTCCGGTCTAGTTGTGAATCTTGGGATATACCTCGAAAGGTCAGAAGCAGAGCCACCTGTACAAGGGCGAGATGGTCTTGTGGACCTCCCAATTCGAATAGCAACTACTCAATTTTGTTATGTCGAATGCTCATTAGTGGAAACTGGCGTCTCACCTCTGCACGCTGATATAGTGTTTTCCTCAGACTCAGCTTATCAGAAAATTCGGTACCAGCCAAGTCAGCCTGTTTGCATGTGCGGAACCAGCGAAGAGAATGGCTTGATACAGCAAGAGGCTGAAGTCTTTTGTGCCTCCTTCATAGGATTGGATGGCTTCGCATAGCTTGGTCAAGTTGAGCAACGGCATGCATGGGTAGACGAACTCGATGAAGGCTTTCACGAGTGCGCTTTGTAAGGTCAGACTGGGGAGGCGAAAAGCCCCCTGCTTTTCGAGAAACTCGACATATCCTTCCCTGCAAAACCTTAGAGGCTCAATGAATCCTGGGAATGGTCTGGACGTTGAGAAGCTTGTGGACGTATTGCTAGATAATGCCCGTGGGGTATTCTCCGCCGGCTGAAAGCTAGATCCAACAGCCACTGAGTCCGGATCGACAGCATCGCGGAAGATCAGAGTAGCCGTTTCATCGACTATATTTATGTCGGTAGAAGAACCTCCATGGCCTGAGAACTGGCTTGTCGGGACATCGGCAGCAGGTCTATGTGCCCCAACAAAGATTTTCCTCCCTGCGTTAACACTTCACTACCTTGGAGTCTCGATGACACGAACTTACCTACTTCGACGGCTTCGAGGGACCACGCATTCGACATTGTCCCACTCGCGATTGCTACAGGGACTACGCTCGACGGCGTCGCAACGAACCTTTCTGGCGCGACAACCGAGACATGCACGTCCCGCTCGACGAAGCTTGCTGGCGCGTTGTTCCGAGCGGTGCCGTTCGGGCTCTCCCTCCATGCCGGGTGCAATCATCAAAGACTCATCATTTGGCATTTTGCCGGGCAATCTCGAACGTCCACTCGGGTTGTTCCGTGAGAAAAACGCGCGGCAACAGCGATTTCAACACCACGAGGTATGCCAGCTGTGAGTGAGTGTTCAAGACTTTTGGTATGTTATCCCGAAAAGCAATGAGGGCGATCCTTATGTGGTCAGCTCGTCGTCTGTTTGGGGAAAGGCCGAGGAGACTTGTGCTAAAAGGAGATCGATTTCTCTTTGAATTGTGATGCCGTGGCAAGTTGCAACTTTCATGATGAACTGTTCTAGTGCCAGTCTCATTGCAGCAGGTGACTCCGAGAACACTCGTTGTCGAAAAGTATGACGACTCTCGAAGATGCCAAATGCTAGCACGGTTGAGCAGCTCCAGATCTACGAGCTCTAGGGTGTCCATAGATTTGGCATAGGATTCCGTTGAGGAGTAAAGGTGTATGGGGTTTGCCATGATGCTCTAAGAATGGCATGAGCCTGGTTCAGATAGGATCTCAACAAGTGTGTTCCCATTTCCACATTTAGGTAGAGCCAGGCTGAAGACCTCCATGTGACTGGTCATCAGATATTACGGGTGACTACCCAGCTGCGTGATGCTCAAACCCTGCACCTTCCTTGCCGTCCCTTTTCCGCTCCTTCCTACTTCTACGGCACAATCTCACCTCCACAGATTTAGCTCCTGTCAACTTCACCTTGAATCGTTTATTTGATCCCACTTCACAACCCACCCATCTGTCAAATTTCAACCACTCTACAACCCCTTCACATCTCCTAATTTCCTTTCGCCATTCTACTTTCACATCACCATCTTCAACTTCGATCATATCTCCAATAAAGTCCCATTGAGTGTCACCATCCATTCAGCAGGCCGCACATTGTGCGCTCTCGAGCCGGTTGCAGCATGTCAGGGGCCGCGACTGCTTTTACAGCAGCAAACTTTGACGGTTCCGCCTTCCAACACCGCGATTCGTCGTTCACACTTAGCCCGCGATTCTCATCCTCCGACGGGCTCTCTCCCACCGATCGCGACGTCTACCTGCTTGCAGCGCTCGACTCTGCTGACCTCGACGACCAGGAGACCCCAGACCCCCCTTTCGAAGTGGCTTGGGACCAAGATTCACGGCCTACTTCCACCCAGATCCGTCAGCTTAACGATCAGCCCTACTACGAGCAAAACAACAGCCCCGCCGTGGACGAAGACTCCGAAGGCATCCCAGAGCACGTGTTCGCCGAACTCTTTGAGGAAGGTGACGGCGAGCAGCAAACCTACGTCCAGCAGGCGAGTTCTGAGACTTTTCACAAGGTCGCTTTCCAGACTCGTCCCTCGAGCCCTGCGCGCGAAACCACCCAAGTTGTCGCATCCTCGACGGCTCAGGTCGACAACCAACCTCGCCACCAGGCTTCCCTCGCACAGTCAGCGGCTGATCGAGCTCCTACTCAAGTTGTCGACGTTGACGAGCAAATGACTAACAACACCATCGCGCGGGTCCCCGCCAGAAAATCTACTGAGCCTTCCACCCAGAGCCCCCAGCAGACCTGGCAAGAGACACCCTCACCTCAAGGCACCTCTGCTTCATCACCCAAGAAAGCCAAGATGGGACCTTCCGCTGCCATGGTACAGCAGTTCAACGACAAGGACGAGGCCACCGGCCGTCCTCGGTTGCAACAGTCGTGGATTGACTACACCGCACGCGTTTTCGAAAAGGACTACGCGCACGAGATTTGGCATCCCGAGTTGCAAGGCAAGATCATGGCAGACCTCCAACGACCTGTCAGCATCAACAACTTCTACGTTGCTCGCCATACGGCTTACAGAAACTTCACCAGGTTCGTCCTTCCTTCTTCCTTTCTAACCTTTTTCCACAGTTTGCCGCTTGTGGGTGCACCTTTTTGGCTGCCGTATGATTAACGGGGAAATATTGAACAGGTTCGTGAAAGGTGAGACAACGCCTTACAACGAGGTGGACATATGGGCCATGTTCTTCCGCAATGAGAACGGTCTTCCCGACATCTGGGCGAGTGGTATCAACTCTGATCAAGCCTACCTATTTTCCGACGTCATTAACGCTGCCGTCGGAAATGAGTCGTATGACTGCGTCAAGTCCGCCTACAACAAGACGCGAGGATTGAAGGGTATCACCTACTTCAAGCCTTCCAGATCGGCCGGTCAGCGCAAGGTCAACCCGACGACCCCAAAGAAGCGCAAGATAGAGGTGGAATCAGACCAATCTGATTCAGAGGTGGAGTGTCTGGAGGTCATCTCTACGAAGAAACCCAAACTCGACAAACGCGATGATGCTGACGGCAGCGATGGCGGAGGAGCCAGAGGAGGAGTCATTCAGGGCAGCAAGACTACCAAGAGCACCAAGGACGCCGCTGGAGCCAAGAATACGGCGGTGGGAAATCAGGAGTTGAAGGAGAACAAGAAGGTTGTCGGCAACAACCTCTCGCAGAAGAAGCTTCATGACGACTTCGATGCCGAGGCAGAGAGTGATACGGAAAGCGTCATGAGCGACAGCACCATCGTGAAGAAGCCGGAGTCTGACACCGACAATGACGAGGATGCCGATGGCCTCGATGATGACGAGCCGGTTGACTCCTGGATTCTAGAGATGAAGGCGAAGATGAAAGAGCCTGAGGAGGAGACCGAAGAGAAGCCCAAGTTCACCGTTAAGGAGAAGGTCAACCAGCGCGATGCCTTCTTCAATACCCTTGGGACCGTCCCGCCGGAATTCCAAGACAAGGTCTTCCGAACCATCATGTTGGACGTTATTCAAGATATGGGGATCGATCCCAACGAGAAGCTTGCGAAGCAAGTGAAGCCGTTCAAGAAGTTGATCAAGATGGAGGGAAAGAGGAAATAATGGTGTGGCTGACAGACGTGGGTTGCTTTTGCATGAGTTGAGCACTTTGGAGGATCGCGATAATGCAGTGCGCTTTTGATTTGGACCGGAAAGTTGGTGGTTAGAGAAAGTTGGCATTGCGAAGTATCATTGGTTTTGCTTTACGGACTGGAGTCGTTCTTGCTTTATGGTATCTTGAGAGGAGAGCTTGATTTTCATGCAAGATGGCGCCAGCAGGGCGCGGTTGTATCCTAGGCATGAAGCTCCCAAGAACATAGGTAGATGGACGATCTACTTGCGATATTCTCAGATTCTTTTGCGTCGAGGCTTGCGTGAACTTGGACTCCATGGTGTGATATTTGAGGCCATCATTTTGACCAAGAGAATACCAAGTAAG